AATATAACAACAGAGAATATGCCCAACAAATACCCTTAAACAAAGGAAAAGTACGTCCTTTATGAAGGCATAGAGCCACTACATGAAAATGAAAATTAATGAATACACTGTGTACAGTAATTTACCTGATAAGACAGACTTCAGAAAAATACTTTATGAGAGCTTTTATACTTTTATAAAGCTGTCTATAATGAAAATTAATTAACTAAGGCTTTTTTTGCCCTGCCAGGATGTGGCCGAGTTATCCGTAGTGCCGGGTTATCGAGAGCCGAGTTTTCGAGGTTCTACTGTATTTTTATTTTAAATATTGAAATATATTAATATTAATTGAGATATAAAGCAAATCATATACAATGAATAAAACTCTAATGATAAATACAAATTAATAAAAAAAGTGAAAATAAAATTTTTTTCAAAATATTTGTTTAACACCAAGATTATAAATATCAAAATATAAAAACAAAAATTTACATATTCTAATTCCTGTTTATTTCAAAATATTTCAATATGCAGTAGAGCGTCGTTTATTCGAAAGCATTCCAGTCGTCAAATTTAAATTTTCGCTAGTGCTGTGGCACTGTAATCTTTGGCTATATCTCGGGCTACTCCAATATTTTTTTTGTTGATGTGTGTGTTTTAGCTGGCAGCACTGGCACTTTTGTGTGGTGTTTTTCCGAGGACTGTGTGTCGTGCTGAATCGAACTTTTTTGATACTAGATTAACTTCTAAAGTATAATTTTTTTTGTTTTTATATTTTTCAATATATTTATTTTGTTTGTACAAAATAAAGAAATAATTTTTAATGATACAATAGCCACGATTATTATTTTAAAAAGTTTACGTTAAGTTTAACATTGACAAAAATTGAACGCAAAGCAACACGCAACGGAGAAAAATTTCAACATGGGATAAATTAATAATATTTTTTCGTACATAATTGGTTATCCGAACAACACCAGTCCCCAATTGATTCGAATAAACGATGCTCTACTGTATTAAAAAAAATTTAAAAGTTTCATCAAATTAAAAACCTAAAATAAAATGCTATCATCAATTTATCAAAATGTCCAAATAAATTGATTTTATCTTGATAATTTAACTATTTTCATTATCATAAATTTTAAATATTTGTTTAAACACACAAATAGATATTGTGAACATTGGATGTTATTGATTAATCATGTCAATAAAAATTATAATCTAGTTACCTAAAAAGAATAAAATCATAAGATATAGTTATATAATGATCAATAAAAAGAATGACACAATAGTTTTAACTAATAAATGAGAGAATTACTAGAAAATACATAATATAAAATAAATTTAGTGTAAAAAAATAAGTCTTTTATTTAAAAATCTACAGTTACCTTATTTTTTTCTTCAAGTTCACTAATTTTATCCCAATGTCTTTTTTCTTCTTCACGACATATCATTTTAAGTCTCTCACATTTTTTTTTGGTATTCTCATACAAGATACGAAGATCTCTGATAGCTTGATCAAATGCCTCATGGAGAATATTTGGATCAAAATTATCACCCTCATTGTGTCCTCCAGTTGTCCGCCAAGCTAATCTTTCTACAAACTCTTCAGGATCGAAAGGATCCTGGAAAAAAAAAATTTGGATCATCAACAACAAATAAAATTTTCAGTTTTATACCATTATACCATGTCTTTCATTACAAATAATTATTATATCTTTATTACAAGTAAATCTTTTAATGAAAATTTAAATGTGGATGAACACTTTGAATGAAATTTGAGTATTGATTGATTTGCAGACATTATGGAATATTTTGAAAGTATAGATTGAAATAAATTTCACTTCTAACAATTTAAGTATAATATATTGTTTTTCTGTTGATAATCATATAAAAAACTTGAGGAAAAAGTTTTAAAAAAAACTGATTCATTAATAATCTGTGCTAAACAATTTTTCATTTCTTTTTATATAATGTTACGATCCCAAAGACATACACGAGTTAGCAATCTGGGTCATGTGACTTCGTGTAACCATCCCCTCGACCCAATTCACCATTGGACCAATATGCGATGAAGGTCTCTAAAGTTTGATATTAATTTTTCTACATTTAAAGTGCTTAAATCCTTATTTCAAAAACATTCAATATGAAGATCAAATTTATAATAAAAATTTTAATATTGTTACATAACTATAAGAAAAAGTAACTATATATCTTAAAGCCAATAAGGTTAGAAAGGTTCATATTAAATCTAAATCTTTGTCCTTTATAAAAAGATGTAAAATAATAATAGAGGAAGTTATTTTAAATTTAATTATGATAAGATAATGTAGACTTGATATTTTAACACTGAGCTAACTAAATGAAATGCTTTAAAGAAATCACAAGTAAACAAACTACCAACAGCAAGCTTATCATCATATCTATTAATATAAAGAATGCCCTAAAATTATTTTAGAATATAAAATCTTAGAGAAATTCAGAATGGTATATACTAAATCAGTGATACCAAAATCATGTCAATTTTAGAATGCTTATTCATAAAATAACTTGTTTTAAATTTACAAAAAGTTACTCAAAATGACCACCTACTTTTATCTTCATAGAGCATATAGAATGTAAATGCAGCTGATGAAACATTATAAAATTTACATTCTGTCTTCAATTTAATCCTCTTTTCAGATAATAATAAACTGCAATATTTTTTGCATTATTTCCATTAATATAAAAAGGAAATATAAATTATTATTAGGTTGTTATTTTTAGAAACTTCCAATTCCTGGCTTATATTTGGAGTTATACATTTTACTAGCATGTATAAATTACTCAATGTACTGTATGGTACATTGTAACATTGTTATTAATATAAGTTTTTAAAGCAAATTCAATTTAACAAACTTTTAGTAATAGCAGATACCTCTTCTATCAATTAGTCTATAAAATTGAGAGACTACCGTACATCTAAACAAATATAATATGTAAACATGTTTCCATTGAAAGAAATAAAGTAAATAAAAAAATATTTTGATAATATTTTTACTGTATATAGAACTTCATCAGACAAAAATAAGTGAAAGTTATCTGATAAAGCTCTATGTAATTTCTATGCATTTGGAGCTAGAGCTATTTTAAGATGACCAAGACAACCTGAAGAAGGCCTATTAAGAAGGCCGAAAATGTTCATACTCGTGTATAAACGGCTAGAAACAAGTGAGAAAGGTTTTGTCTTGCTCTATGTAATTACTATCAAATATCTTTAAAACTAGTTTATTTCAATTTAGAAAAAATTTGTTTACATTTTATATTTGCACAAAAATGTACTGTACAATATATATAGGCCCAAGATGTCATATATACATTTCATTTTAAAATAATAAATTTACAAGCTATAAATATTTTAAAATTCTTATTTTTTTAAAAAATTCAATTTTACTAATAAAACATTTTTAAACCTCACAAAAAGATAGAAAATGAATAAGTTTTTTGATCAAAGCCAAGTGCTTATATTCAATTTGACCACTAAACTGTGTGTTATTTTCATGATAAAGTTTTTACATCAGGTAAACTGATAACTTGATATAATGTAATCTTTGAGATCCAAAAACTTTGATTGCATTGAAAAAAGGAACCGTTTCTGTCACTTATACAAACAACCCACATCATGTGGCAATCATTGCTTATAAACTTATACTTCATACTATTCAGATACATCTTACTATCATTTTAATTTCTCTATATCAAGCCATCTGAAAGAGTTAAGCTGTGTTTACACGGTGACAAGTACAAAATATAGATATGGCTGATAAAATATTTCAAATTGAGCCAATTAATTTCAAATTGTTTTAAATACTTATTTAACTCAGTACTCTACAATAAGATAAAATAGAATCAATAGAATCTCAGTTAGGCTGGATGACAAATTTGTTCCACATGTCTGTGTTCTATTAAAGTGAATTACATTAATTCATCACTGCATTATTCAAGATATAAATATTGAAATACGAAGTAATATTCATTTTTGCATTCATAAAACAGTGTAAAAAGCTATTTATAGTACATATGTTTTAATTTTTAATAAAGCATTTCTTAAATAATTTTTGAGCATTTTATTAATATCCAATTAACTAAAATTCAACTTTATTTGAATGTAATTAAATCATTATCCAACAGATGAATCAATGTAGCCAAAGAAAAACATCTGAGATGTAAAAAAAGTTATGACAACTAAAAATTTATGACAACTTAGACAATGGCCAAAATTTTTCTTAGAACTTTTTCTTTCGTAAAAATAAGCTTGGTACTTGGAGATGAAACGTAGAAAACAATAATACAGGTAAAAATGTTGTAGATTCTGCTTCCAAGTTCATCTTTACCAAAGAAAAACTGTATTGTTGTCTAAATTGTCATAAATTTTTACTTGGCATAATTTTTTTACATCTCAGATGTTTTTCTTTGGATATCAATTGTTTTTGTTTAATAATTGTATTATTACATGAAGACACAAGACGATGACATACAATTTGGTCAGCACTCGGTGACTGAATGCACTGCTGATCAAATGCATTGCCAACTGAATGCTTTCAATATTCATTTCAGTCAGCACTGGCCGACACTTTTGATATGCCATTTAGAAAATTGCTATAAAATGTTTTAATTGGTATAAATTTGAGCTTTTTGTATTTCTGAACAATATTTTGAATAAAAGTCATTTGTTTCCATGCAATTTTACCTTTATAAGCATAAAATTAAGTGGTAAACCAATTAGCTCTATGGGAAACCCCCAAGAACTTTGACCTATCGTCTTGGAAGTTTCATGAGCACCTCACTGATAACGAGAAATGGTTAAGTTTAAAATTTGAGCTTTCTAGACCCAGTAGTTTTTCTCTATGAGCATCTGCAGTGCCAGATGAAGAAAAAGAAGAAAATACAGCTTTTTTTTTTTTTTTTTATAGCAATTTTTGTACTTTTCAATTGCTTCAATTATATTTCAACAGCTGCATTACAAAAAATCTTAAAATTTTACACACTACCTAAGAAAACAATTTTCTTTCAAACAAGATATTCGGAATTACTTCAGGTGTTTGGGGAAAAGAAATCTACTCCCAAAACCCAGCAACTTTAATTACTGTGTATATATATATAGTCAGTCAGTGACTTTTTATTTGGCAGGGAGTCACTGCAGTGACTCCTGAATGCATTTATCCTAATTCATTGTTTTAGAAGAATAACTCTATTCATTGACAAGAAGTAATAAGATGAATTTGAGGTTACAAAATAGAAAGAAAATACAGTGATGTCTCATTATTCAAATTTAAAACATTCCATGAGGCCATTTAAACTCTGAATCATTCAAAGTCCATTTCCCTCTTAGAAATAACAAAGTGAATTAATTCATTCCCAGACCATAAACAATGAATCATTTTGAGAAACTTAAAACAACAAACACATAATTTAAGGTAAAAATAACACAATCAAATGCCCTAAATAATATTAACATACAAAAACAATAATAAAATAAATAAATACTGTATACATTTACTGGTTGCACACTGTCAACTTTTGGCATCTTAAAACATGACCACCCGATCTACCATACATAATATAGCTTTCATGTTTTGCAATAAGTTCCATTTTCAATTATCAATATTACAACCTTCCTCTTAGGCTTTGTTATTTCACACACTTCTCAGATGCAGTGGTTATTTAAGCAAAGATTATATTGTTTATAATTTATTTTGTATACTAGTACATTCTATATATTAACAGGACTTATTATACTGGAATTATGGATGCAGAAAAATAATGTTCTTTATTAAGTTCACCTGTGGTGAACTTAATAAAGAACATTATTTTTAAACTGTAAGACTAAACATCTGCATCCATAATTCCAGTATAATAAGTCCTGTTAATATATAGAATGTACTAGTATACAAAATAAATTATAAATAGTGTTAAAAAAAGGACAAAAAGGCATAATAATTAAAGATTATATTGGGTTGAACAGAAAATGTTTGTATATTTTTAACCACTCTGCAGTGATTGACGGATATACCCATCAAGGGCGATCACATGGCACTGGAGAACATCTATATCCGCAAAAAAATTTTAGCCAAAAATTACCACGAAAAAAAATTCACATAAAAAGGAATTGTGTGACAATAAAGAAAGATTTTTTTCTTTACTAGACGTAACTGTTTAAAAAATTTTTTCTGAAACGGAAACAAGACTTGTGGGAAAATTCTTAAAAATTTTCCACATTTATTCTCCACTACATCGTGATAGTGCCATATCTGACGAACCCTCTCTACAAAGGTTAACAGTTAATGTTACTTAATAGAGATGCACAATTCAATTATAACAGTTCTGGAATTTACACATGTGAGATTGTAGGCTATTCTTTGTTCAGAGGCTTATTTAAACTTTTTACTTCACATTTTGTTAGAGTAAAATCAAGTTGAAATGTCTTCAGATGAAAAGCATATCAGGCATATTATGCTTTATGAGTTTCAGAAAGGATATAACACCATGCAAAATAGTAAAAGATGATTCTTAATATGTTTGCTGCTAAACTTCTAACATGTAAATGTGGTTTAAGAAAGTCTGTTCAAGAAATTTTGAACCAAAG